TTAGGGACGAGAGATTGAAGGCGAAAATGGAGGGAAACATAACAAAGAAGGGATAGAGGACCAAGTAAGACAAACGAACAATTTTCCCTTCATTTTCCCTTGATTTAATTGTACTCAGATATTCTTGCATACCTCACTCCCCTTCTTCTAACCTTCCATGGGTTCACATTTCTTCTTACCTCTTCCTCTCCTCTCTATCTCTCTCTCTCTCTTCTCTCTCTCTCTCTCTCTCTCTCTCTCTCTCTCTCTCTCTCTCTCTCTCTCTCTCTCTCTCTCTCTCGAATAAATCGTGATTTTTTTCGTGATAAACAGGACGCTGAATTTTGTACAGGTGGATGTGGTAGGGGAGAGAGAGAGAGAGAGAGAGAGACAGAGAGAGAGAGAGAGAGAGAGAGAGAGAGAGAGAGAGAGAGAGAGAGAGAGAGAGGAATAAAAGAGTGATATTGAAAAGAGTACGAGACAAACTGTCTGAAAAGGGAGGCAAGAGGTATGTGCAGAGGTAAATATACACATATATGCAGAAACCATGTGCGAAGGAGATCAAAATGTAGATACATGCAGAAACAAAGGCAGTAGTCGTGAATGACTGATAATACCTGACGTTTAGGTGTATATTTAATAAGGTTAATTGTGGTATAACCTTTTGTATTAACACGATGTACTATACGGGGTGAGAATAGCTTGAGCTACCTCATCCCTTTGTGTGTATTTTACCTCAATAAACTTATTTCAATTTCAATTTCATTTTGGTATATACCTAAACCTTTGCTCGCGTCGCTCCTCCGTTTTCTTTGTTGCCATTTGGCTCACACACCCACGTTTTTAAGGTGACACTAAAGTTAAACCGATTAAAGAACATTTAGGCACAGTTATAATGACGATAATTCATTGTGTCGGGTGACAGGCAGGCAGTATATATATACATATATATACTACATGTTAGGCATATATCAAGGTACCCCCCCCCCCACCCCTCCTACTACCAGGGTCTAATTACTGACCTCCCTTCCTTCCCAACATTTTTTTTCGTGAATTTTTTTCAGCAAACACAGTTTTCTCACTTCGGAGAAGTTTATAATTTTAAGTTTTTTCCTTCCCCTTGCAATTTTTCCTACTTGCATCTCAAACTTGCGGGTTGGCTTTCGTTTTTAGTTCAGATTTAGGAAGTTCTTTCTGATGTTATTCTCAGTCACTCCTGTTCTTTGTAATTGTTTTTTTTGTGCGTGTCATAAAATAAAATATTTGGATAAATAGTATTACAGAGGTTTTACGCAAGTATTACTAACAGGAATGTAATTGTGTAATGTTATAATTTGTGGTGTTGGTACCGTTGTTTCTATTGTTACTGTTGCTGCTCCTGTTGTTGCTGCTACTGTTATTACTGCTCCTGTTACTCTTGGTACTACTACTGATGCATACATTCTAACAGATGTTTTGTTTAAACTCACTGACTATTAGGTGAACAAATAACAAGTAGACACTAATCTGAACTTTCAGTGTGTTATGATAAATGAAAGAAGGAGAACTATTCGGCTTTCTTTTCATTCATAATGAGAGACTTGCAATAAGGCGTTGCCAAGGAGAGGTGTTTTAACTGAATATGAAAGTACTGGCTACGTTGTATTTATGCAATGACAGACTTGCCTTTAGTTGCAACAGGATTGCACGTGAGTGAATAACTCACTAACTTCTCTGCACTTAATACTCACAAAACTAATTTAATTCAATCAATACAGAACATAATACAACACATCCGAAAATTCTTGTAAATATACACTACAGTGCTCAAGAATTTCCTGTTTCGCTTTCCTTCTTGGTCATACGGTTTTACATTATTCATCACGTGTTAATTTGAGACGTGTGTGTGTATACTCACCAATTTGTGCCTGCAGAATCGATCATTGACTCGTGGATCCCGCCTTTCTAGCCATCGGTTGTTTACAGCAATGACTCCTGTCCCCCTTTCCTTATCATATCTAGTTTTAAAATTATGATTACAGTTTTATTATCGTATTTTTTGTTACTGCTGAGTGTAGTAGCAAATAGTATGTGTACTAGTAGCAAAGTTTGTGGTAGCAAACTTATGTATTATATACTCAATAATACATAAGTACATACATAAATGATGCATTTCTTGTTTCCACACTCCCTTTCAGGCAACACAATCAACTACAAATAAACATGGTTCGAAGGGTTATCAATAATGAAGCGAATATCTGATTAGTTCCACTGCGGTCTAATTTGCGTACTAACGAGGTTGTTAGCGTAATTGAACCCAAGACACATCCGTTGCACCGAGCTCTCTGTCTCTCTCTCTAATCCTCCTTCAGAACACCAGTGACTTGAATACGTTACTTGAAGGTAAAGAACAAACCGTTTTCTCCTTATATTACGCTCAAAGTCGCGTAAGCTGTTATGATTCTTTAAACCAACTTATTTTTTTTCTTGCTGTGCACAAACTTTCGGGGGAGAAATCTTTTATACACACTCAATAATCGCATTTTCGAAAAGTTTGCAATTTTTATAAGTTTGGGGAAAGTCAGTGAGGCGGGAGATTTTCTCTCCCGCAGCTCAGGCCTTCAGCATCACCTGATCCCAGAGTTGGTGTCACAGCAAAGGAAAGTAGAGTGTTGTAAATCCACCTGTCCTATCCTGACCTGTTGTAAATCCACCTGTCCTATCCTGTCCTGTTGTAAATCAACCTGTCCTATCCTGTCCTGTTGTAAATCCACCTGTCCTATCCTGTCCTGTTGTAAATCAACCTGTCCTATCCTGTCCTGTTGTAAATCAACCTGTCCTGTTGTAAATCAACCTGTCCTGTTGTAAATCAACCTGTCCTATCCTGTCCTGTTGTAAATCCACCTGTCCTATCCTGTCCTGTTGTAAATCAACCTGTTCTATCCTGTCCTGTTGTAAATCCACCTGTCCTATCCTGTCCTGTTGTAAATCCACCTGTCCTATCCTGTCCTGTTCTGTCGTGTTCTGTTTGTTGTGTCTGTACGGCGAGTCCTGTCTTGTCGTGACTGTTTCTGCCATAGCTGTATCTGTCTGTCGTGTCTATCGTATCTGCCAGCTTGTCGTATCTGTTTGTGTGTGTGACGTGTCTGTCTGTCTCGATGTTGTCCCTCTGAATTTGGTGGCTGATATGAAACTCGGCAAGAAAGCTGGACATTAAAGAAACAATAATAACTAGTAACAGTAACATTGTCAAGAAGTAAAGAGAAACAAGATAAACAAACAAAAATCGTCAACAAAAGCACCTAAGCTTCGATCAGCCAGCCAGTAGTACAAAGCTTTAGCCAGCTGGTGAAAGAAGCTTCAACCAGACCATACAAAGCTTCAAGCAGACCATACAAAGCTTCAAGCAGACCATACAAAGCTTCAAGCAGACCATACAAAGCTTCAAGCAGACCATACAAAGCTTCAACCAGCTCATACAAAGCTTCAAGCAGACCATACAAAGCTTCAAGCAGACCATACAAAGCTTCAACCAGACCATACAAAGCTTCAAGCAGACCATATAAAGCTTCAAGCAGACCATACAAAGCTTCAAGCAGACCATACAAAGCTTCAAGCAGACCATACAAAGCTTCAAGCAGACCATACAAAGCTTCAAGCAGACCATACAAAGCTTCAAGCAGACCATACAAAGCTTCAAGCAGACCATACAAAGCTTCAAGCAGACCATACAAAGCTTCAAGCAGACCATACAAAGCTTCAAGCAGACCATACAAAGCTTCAAGCAGACCATACAAAGCTTCAAGCAGACCATACAAAGCTTCAAGCAGACCATACAAAGCTTCAAGCAGACCATACAAAGCTTCAAGCAGACCATACAAAGCTTCAAGCAGACCATTCAAAGCTTCAAGCAGACCATACAAAGCTTCAAGCAGACCATACAAAGCTTCAAGCAGACCATACAAAGCTTCAAGCAGACCATACAAAGCTTCAAGCAGACCATACAAAGCTTCAAGCAGACCATACAAAGCTTCAAGCAGACCATACAAAGCTTCAAGCAGACCATACAAAGCTTCAAGCAGACCATACAAAGCTTCAAGCAGACCATACAAAGCTTCAAGCAGACCATACAAAGCTTCAAGCAGACCATACAAAGCTTCAGTCAGCTTTTCAAGTCACACTTCAACCAGAGCTGATTAGGCTCTTCTGTCCTCACACTTATTCCACCGTAATTGTGACGTTATTAGCCACTACGTCAAAATTCTTGTGCTCTAGTGAAATTTAATGCCTTTTAATGCTGACGTCTTCTTGGAGTAATGAGTACTCCAGGCCATCCACTTGGGCTGGACGGTAGAGTCTCGCTTCATGCAAGTCCACGTTCAATCCCCGACCGTCCAAGTGGTTGGGACCATTTCTTTCCCCCCTCCCCATGTGCATTATATCTATGATAAAAACAGATATCCACTTCACGGAGCATGAACAAAAGTGTATGTTTACAAGAGGTAATTGTGCAGCTGGAAGCAACAGTCTGATGGAACACGTTATCACTAACCTAGCCTCACGAATAGAAGACCTCTTGAAATCGACTACAGGTAAATTATAGGCAAAGAAACAAATTTGGAAGCACGGTGGCCGACATGAACCCAGCATAAACTTATTCAATTCACACCCCGCTTACTCTTATACCTAGCTAATCCACCCCAGCACACACATAATTAACTAGCCAATCCACCCCCACACAACTAGCTAATCCACACCCACACATACAATTAACTAGCCAATCCACCCCCACACAACTAGCCAATCCACACCCACACACACACAATTAACTAGCCATTCCACCCCCACACACATAATTAACCAGCCAATCCAACCCCACAGGCACAATTAACTAACCAATCCACCCCACCCCCCAACACATAGTTAACTAACCAATCAATTCCAGCAACATAAAACTTCCAACCCGTTCTATTCAATATGAGTTTTCCGCCCTTGCGCTAAGGTTCACAAAATTACATTGAAATAAGAACGTAAGATTGGAAACCCAACCCACTAAAAGGAAAGTGAAGAATTGATGATGATTCGGTCCCTCCTGGACCATCATCAACTCGTGTGAGTTTCTAATCTTTGTGACATTATTGTCACGAAGATTGTGACTCGTCGACTGCACCTCGAGGTGTTCATGGTTCGAAGAAATTTTTGTATATAAAACAATGAGTTATTTACCGTGTGGTATTTGTCGGATTCGATCTTTTGTTCAGTTATTGCAAGACTAAACAATTTATTTCATTATGTGTGTGTGTGTGTGTGTGTGTGTGTGTGTGTGTGTGTGTAGTGTGTGTGTGTGTGTGTGTGTGTGTGTGTGTGACAGATTTGCCTTTCGTTGCATTCATGTATATATTGTGTATAATAATAGTGTTACCAAATTATATAAATCTATTATATAAATTGGATCATATAAATACATTCATTTAATATTTTTTTTGTGTGGAATTCCACGTAAACATTATGAGGAAGTCTAGTGGCGCCTGAAGATGAAATTGAATCAACTAACGCGGCAACCTTGAGGCGTTTTCGGGTCTTCTCATCCCCGCGGCCCGGTCGTCGACCAAGCCTCTTGGCCAGACCTCCAGGGGCTAGAGTACACTGCGAGCAGAGCTCTGAGAGCCCCAGGGGGGGCTCTTAGGACGTGAGCTCTGAGAGCCACAGGGGGGGGGGGGCTTTTGTGACGTGAGCTCTGAGAGCCTGTTCTGAATCCTTATCAAGATCGTTACTTTTAATGTCATATGTATGGGCTGGGTTGCCTCCAGCCCCCGTTAGTCTGACTAAACAACGGGGCTTCGGTACCTGACGCTGCAGCACCGACAGAACCATGAATACCCAAGCGATAACCGTCCAGCGATCGTGCTTTGACGCATGCATTGCGTCGTCGTTGTCTCGACCATAGTTGCGTCGTTGTCTTGACCGTCAAACCGCGCATTAAAAGCACCAAAATTGATATGATTACCATGTACCAGAACGACGGGAATTAGACGTATGTGTGTTCCTCCGAGACTCGTCAGAAGAGGCAGCGTTTTCTGCGTCTAATGAGAAGTACTGAGAAGTAATAATGAGTACTGATGTAATTTTTTTTTTAAGTTGGCATTTAGCGTTGTCCAATATACGTTGAGTTGGTAATAAATACTGCATCTCACGTTCTCTTTGAAGATAAAGTGAGTTTTCCATTTTTATTTGTTTAATTATAAACATTTTCTTTGAGAACGGAATATATCTATTTCTCATATCCTATTGGAGAAATCTCTGCTATAATTATCGTTAAATATAGTTATTTTTGTTTAAATCTCTCGCAAGATTGACATTCAATTTACTATAAGCAGACTTGAGCCCATTTTCTTTAATATAAATACGTATTCCTTTTATCCATAGCATTGCATCTTCCCGTTCTCCTCTCTCACCTTCCTCCTTCATCTAAAATAAAAATGATGACCTGTGTCTACAGCCCTCGTCATGGATCCATAATCCTTGACCCTCAGTGTTTACATACTGTCATTCTGACCCTTGTGTGTGCGTGTGTGTGTGTGTGTGTGTGTGTGTGTGTGTGTGTGTGTGTGTGTGTGTGTGTGTGTGTGTGTGTAAATTACATCATTAACGACACTAAAATCAGCCGCCGATGCTCCACTATCGCATATCTCCAATTATATTTACGCCTGAGAATATAATTGTTTCTCTTGAAGCACATTATATAAATCTTCCAAATTTTTAGCACTATTAGAGTCGAGTCTTTAGTAAACACAAAATAATCACTTAAAAAACACATTTATCTCATAATGAGTCATTGAGTGGAATCCTCTGAACACACTTTATTTGTAAACTTAATTGTATAATAATATATCAACTTTGTTTTATCAAGACATTAACACGCAACACAATATATAAAATGATGTGTGTATATTAACCTCTCACAGTGAAATCTGCGGAACGTGAAAGGCACGTTCGGTAACTAATGTTTAATTATGAATATTTTAATAATATTTTAAGGGCCGAGTTTTTTTTCACTCTCCCTTTCCCTTTCCCCCATTCCAAGGACACGAGAACAAACACCAACGCCGGACGCAGGAACGCCAGAGCGTTTACTTAGCACGAGTTCAGCCTTTTATAGCGGCCAGACCGATATTCGAGTACGCGGTTCGAGGCCTTGTTTACCAAATTCCCGTGCAATGGACGGGCAGAAAGATGGTAGGTAGAAGGATGGTAGGTAGAAGGAAATAATGGGTGGGAAGGGGGACGGTTGGAGGAGAAAGATAGAGAGGAAGAAATGGGAGAGAAGTGAAGAGGATCAAAGGAAGAGGAGACGGGAGAAGTGGTTGGATGCGAGGCAAGAAGAAGATTATTGCTTGATCCATTGATCAAGACGACTCGTTAGAATATAGTGAACTACAGAGAGTGAGGGAGACAGTGATAACAATGATCTGGAATTAGAGGTTAATTGCCTTCAACACTGTTTATATTTTTTGTGGAACAGTATCTAACTATCGATTTAATATCCAGCTACTGTTCTTATTTTCACTGTTACACTACAGCTACACTGTAGCTGTAGTGTACAGCTAACTGATTTCCGGCTTAATGTCGTAATTGGGAATGTTTGATTCAATTATACAATTTTGTAACGATTTATATAATTCTTTTTTACAAATAACGTGTCTGTATGCAGGAATATAGTATGTTAATCTCTTCAAACATACTTAAAAAAATAGTTTAACTGCCTAATTTTTACGAAGGCATTTAATAAATATTAAATTAACCTGTTTAAAGCGAAGTCCGATTTAAGCAAATTTCACTCAGTTGTCAATAAACTAATTGGAGAGTGATGCTAGTTGAAGGGAATGAAATAGAATGAGAGTGAGAAACATGAGGGCAAATGAACAGATATTGGTCAGTCAAATCCAATAAATGTTTCCATTCACAGCACAACTTGCAATATGGCATTGCAGTGAAAACAAATTTTACGCTCACTCTCTCATATATATATATATATATATATATATATATATATATATATATATATATATATATATATATTATATATATATATATATACTATTATATATAGTGTGTGTGTGTTTTTTTTAAATCACGAAGAAATTAACACGTGATGAACAATGTGACAGTGTCAGACTACGAAATAAGGATTAAGATTAAGGATAATTTCCTTAAATACTTTCGTATCTATTAATACACCTCCAGAAGGCTGGCTTTACAATTCAGTGGTGTGTATATATATAGGCAGGAAGAAGGTGAGGTGAGGTGAGAAATAATGTTTTTAATGAGATAATGGGATATTAATAAGGCATTACTGAGATTAATGGGTATGAACGATCCCACTCAAATCGCCCTTTCACTGATCAATCAAAAAACGGATCTAAATTATACAGACCACTACTAATGTTCAAATTACATGATTTTGTAATCTGTATTAAGTCAGGTTCACTAATGTTTCTATTGAAAATGCTTTTACAATTCGTTATTGAAGAAGCTTCTCCCAATATATTTGGTGAGAACTTTCTGACAAATGACCAAACAAAGCATTAGACAATTGGCTATGTCTTACAGAGTATTAATTAATATATATTTCAATTTAGAATTTGGCCGCATAAAACATGTGTGTGTTTTACTCACCTAGAAATGAGTACACCCACAGGTACTCACCTGTATTCACCTAGTTGTATTGACCTAGTTGTGCTTGCGGGGGTAGAATTCTTCTATTTCGGCCTTTCAACTGTCAATCAACTGTTACTACTATTTTTTTCACAGACATACACACACATCCTGGAAGCGGCCCGTAACAGCTAACTCCCAGGTACCTATTTACTGCTAGGTAACAGTAGCATCAGGGTGAAAGAAACTCTGCTTATCAGTTTCCGCAGGCGGTCGGGATCAAACCTGGACCCTGGGATTACGAGTCCCAAGCGCTGTCCATTCAGCCACGGCCCCTGTTCGTGTTTGTGTGAGTATACTCACCTATTTGTACTCATCTATTTGTACTTGCGGGGGTTGAGCTCTGGCTCTTTGGTCCCGCCTCTCAACTGCCAATCAACTGGTGTACAGATTCCTGAGCCTACTGGGCTCTATCATATCTACATTTGTGTGTGTGTGTGTGTGTGTGTGAGTGTGTGTGAGTGTGTGTGTGTGTGTGTGTGTGTGTGTGTGTGTGTGTGTGTGTGTGTGTGTGTGTGTGTGTGTGTGTGTATGCTCGCGTGTGTACACTTCTAGATAATAATGGAATCT